GTAGTAGTCGCAACAGCAATGTTTGCTTGCATAGCGATTAATTAATGAACTTTGAAGTCATGCTTCTTCATTTAATTACACAAACAGCTTCAGATTTGTGCCATGGGAATATTTACTAGATCGAACAACTCACAAGAGTGGAGAGACAAAGAACTCACACAAACTCAAGACGGGCATTAGGAGTGATGGTGCCAGAGTGGCACTACCATGTAAAAAGTGCGGACTGAGCGTGATATTCTGGCGTGAGCACGTTTGTTTGCTTGTCTGTACTATCGCCGATTGTACACGAATGAAGCAGTATACTGCTTTCAAAGTGTTGATTAGTGAGCGGCACACATTATCACCGCCTCAGTGCTCGATCACAAATACGTGTGTGCTCGTCGTGTTCTGATAATTAATAAGTGAATACACCACCAGTCGGTATTTACCAGTCAACACAACACAGAGAAGGCATTCACTGTAGTGTTTTGGGTGAAAGCTAGAAAGTGAACCAAATAAATACATTTCTCTGAAAATGAGTGTGTTTGTCTGCTTCATTATTATTATTATCATCATTTTCTAGCCACTTGCCATTAATCGAAATATGCCTCAAATCGATTCTGCTCTTTTCTTTTTTCTTTTCAGCCACTCTCAGCACTGGCACCTTCTGTGAAAGCCATCTCTGAATACTCAACTAGAGCAAAGGAGAGTTTGTGTGATCACCACCACTGCAGAATGTTTCTTAATGAAACACTAAAGATCCGATGACAATTTACTGGTTACGGTGTAGTAAGATAATCAGCAGCAACGGAAGCAGAAGCAATAAAAAGAATTCATCTCTTCGATGAAGGAATATCTGAGGTTGCCTTTGAGCAACTGAAGTGCAGGCAAAGACAAAAGGGAAAGAGAGAAGAGGATTGGGCCGCGCCGTCGAGGGTATTGAGCAGCCAATGGGCGAGCAAAATGAGGCTCGGTAAGGCGGCGCCAGTGGCCGTAAAGCGGACAACACTGTGAAGTGCTCACTGCCAGCACACTACACTTTGGCCAGCGAGGCGTGTCGTCGCTGCTGAGCAAAGCTGCGTTGTGGCCACTACGGCTGATGCTGTTTCAGCCACCGAAACTGCTCATTCCCGTACCGCTACAAAAAAGTACCAAGTGCTCTCTTTTATTCTCTCTCGCTCTGTGTTTTGGCAATTCTGCCCGCCTTTCTTTTCCTTTGGCTAAACAGTGACTATGGTCAGCATCACCAGTGAACTACTTGCTACTGCCACCACTGACTCAGCTGATCAGCAAGGGGTGCTGATGCTGGTACTGCTCCTATTCGTCAGAGAACATTTGGAGCACACTACTACAAGTGAACGCACACACTTTCCCCAAACAACCTTTGTTATTCCGTTTTCTTCCTAATTACCGCTACAAATTCAGACTTATTCCGTTAGGCAGGTTGAAAATACCGAAAAACACATTTTTTCACTGTTAAGCAACTGTTGAGTACAGTGGAAAGCCAACTTGATGACTTTTAATTACCATCCAATCAACTAATTTTACAGTGTACTTGACCACTTTGAAGATGTCTGCTTTCATTCGTCTTTTCTCATTGCACTATTATTAATTGTCACCTATCATCATCTCTACAGTCAATTTATAAAGTAATTCAACCTTTTGAAGTTATTTCTGTAAGTAGCTGTTTTCTCCTTTTGAGTATTTTGCAGAAAAAAAGTCAGTCTAAACTTCTTAATTAAAATTGGCGTTTCATGCAAAGCACAACTTACTGTCTCATTTTGAACGCAATGTCAACAGTGTGATTGTGTGCACTTTTAGAACAAACAGTTTGCAACACTGACAAGAATCAAATAAAAAAAGAATGAGATAGAATCACTAGCTGAGTCAAAAACACGCCAGACTAGTTTCATGTACTGTTTGAATACTGCTGATAATAAATTATTTAACAATCAAACAGCTCGGAAAGAATGTTTAGTAGAAAGAGAAGAAGGTGGAAAAGACAAAACAGTCCAAAACTTGTACTTGCATTCAAGTGCGAAGAAACAAAGTACAAATGCAAAGGGCGAATAAAGAATGAGGCAAATGAGAAAAAACAGAAAGAGTAAGGCAATTTAAAATTTAAATAACAATAAGATGAAAGATTCACAGATGCGGAAAACTGGCGAAACAGAAGAGTGTTGTACGCAATGAAGCGCACAATGTGCCACTGTGAAATGCATAGAACAACTGAAATTAGCATTGACAGTGTCCAGTTGACAACTCAATCAGGTCTCAGTGGACATTGACAAGTAAAAATAGGCACACACGNGCCACTGTGAAATGCATAGAACAACTGAAATTAGCATTGACAGTGTCCAGCTGACAACTCAATCAGGTCTCAGTGGACATTGACAAGTAAAAGTAGGCACACACGCATACGTGCGTTTCCAGTTGATTTTAGACACCGGGTCCTCTGAATTTAAATGACAATATGAGGACTCAACAAACACGCTGTTTTTGAGAGAGAATGGAAACTAAAAGAATGAGCCCCTCTGAACTGGACGATGGCCAAAGAGAGCTGTCTTGCTTTTAATTAAAGCAATCAAGCGAACAGTGTGTAAACACAGGCGCAACACACACATAAAAGTGACCGCATCTCAAAGTATACACACAAAGAAAAAAATTGAAAAAAATATATCAATGCAACACAATGAGAAAGTGTGTCCGATCGGAAATCGAAAAGAAAAGTAAACAATAAATGCAGTATTAGTGAATAAATTCGAGTTTTTAACTCAAATTCATTATTGTAAAAATACTTTCCGATTTAACTTGCTCTTGCCTGTTGTCTGATTGACAAATCAGCGCAGATGCACTGACACAGCCGAGACAGCCAAGAGCATTTGCATAACAGCCGTTCAATTTTGGTTGCCAATCAAAGTGAGATCTCATTTTGAGAGGTAGCAGCAATTAACCGAACAATTAGCATTTGCCAGCTGCAAACAAGACTCCCTCCCTCATTGATGACTAGACACAAAATTAGACCGACCGGTCTAATTCACGGTCACAGGTAGTGAATGCCCAGCCAAAGTGGGGTGATGATTTGACACTGCTTCAGTTCTTAGTTATGAGCCAAGTCTGTTCATTAAGTAAACCTGCCACAGATCGAGGACAAATGGTTGATGTCATCTGGAGGGTTATTTGCACAAATATGCAATGCACTGTCTCTTCACTGAGTGCATACTTATTTGCTGTCTCTTGCAATCGCTCAAATACAATGAGTCTTGGAAAAACGGAGATTTCCGACTAACTAAAAAGGTGTATAAAGTTGGCAGCAAGCAGAGAGACACGAATCAGTCGAATGACGTTCGTTGACTAGTGATGTCGTGATTGCCGCTACATTTTTCACCTTTTTGTTGCTCAGCACAACTTTGGCTAGAATGTCTTGACCAGACAACAGCCCTAATTAGTTTGCAAATGTGTTCACAAATGGCACTTAGCTTAACTTGTCAGTGTGTGATCTATTTGGAACTAGCTGAATTTCGGCCGGATGTACTTGGCAGTTCAGCAGCTCAAAACGAGCCATCTCAGCAACCACACTTTTGGTGAGTTTGATGTTGTATTAAAAAAACAAGTAAAATTAGTAACAGTGTAGCCAATAACCGCCAAATCAGTGATTGAAACAAACAAATAACACACATCAATTGCCTTTTAGTAGCGGTAATTGAAGCCATTTATTTTGTGTGAGTTGTTCGAAGCAGCACTGAATAGTAAAGAAAATAGCATTTGCACTTTCACTGCCAGCTGTCGCCCGCCATTGCTCTGCAGCACTTCTGGTGACATTATCCAACAGACAGACAGGGAGAAAGATTCAATCACGCCATTGACACGTAATGAAGAGGAGAAAGCAAGAGAAAACAAGAGTAAAAGAGAAGTGAAACAAATCGGCAGGACATCTAATAAATAAGAGAAAACATTGCAACTGGCACTGTAAGTGATCCCAGGAGGGAGATGATGATGATGCTAAGGCAGAGAGATACCGAGATGACGATCGGCAATTGAGATAAGAGCAGTGGGGGAAAAACAGCAGAGAAAAGTGCCGTCAATAGACCAATTAGACGGACAATGGCAATGGAGTCGGAGGTTGCAGTGGGCAATTCAATTAGACACCAGGGCACAAGGGGTCTTATACTTTGCTTGACATTGCCAAACACACTGTCTTGGTGGTGTTGTGTTTGTGTGTTTGGTGGTCTTTACGGCGCCATTATCAGTGCATGGCAAATGTGCTGCTGCTGCTCAATTTTGGCTAGCCCACGCAGCCCATTCAGCTTAATTGTAACTGCTCGGCACTCTTTGTGGCCACTCAGCAGCAGACCAGCAACACCCGAGTGCCATTTGAGAAAAATGACCCTCTCCAATACTGTCTGATGAAGGAAGAGTATTTCCTCGAATGGACGCCAATTAGAAACGGCGTCGACCAATTGAAACGGGATTAATCACCGATTAAGGGGTTTTCATTACCGTTCAGCGGTAACTAGAGAAAGAAACAAAATGTGAACCTTAACTATCTTTATTCAATCCTACTTTTTTTCATTTTCAGACTTGTCCTCCCGCTACCACTAGAAACACTTTCTGAAAGCACTTTTTGAAACTTCCTCAAATTCCCCCTTCATCCTCTTTCAATGTTGTTCGGCACTGGACCCAGTGCAGGCTCTGCTGTCGGTGCTGCCGGTCCGCAGAACATTTACTCGCCGTACTCACATGCTTCAGCAGCAGCTCTGAGCACTGGCAGCACCTCACAGGCCTCTCCGCCGTCCTTCATCAAATCGGCACTGCACCCAGCACTGATGAACAGCAGTTCTCTGCTTCACGTGACCGGGTCTCCAGTCCCGAATAGTCAACTTCCCTCTCAGTCGGAGTTGATTGCCTCACTGAACTCCTATCACCACCACCATCATCATCACCAGCAGCAGCAGCAGCAGCACAATCACCAACAGCAACCACAACAGCAGCAGCTTCAGCATCATCTTCTCGATGGCTCAATGGGCAGTGTTCGAAACAGCGCCCCAACATGTGCTGACAACAGCTGCAAGGCGTCAGTTGTGGGTGGAAATAGCAGCAGCTCCCGAGAGTCACCAGGAGCCAGCAACAGCAGCAGCCACCATCGCGCCCACACCGCCTCGCCGTCCTCCTCTTCAGGCGGAGGGAGCACTTCAGTGCACCATGGCAATCAGAATGAAGTGCGGACGTGCATGCTCTACGGCATTCCCATCGTTTCTCTGGTCATGGACGGTCAGGAGCGGCTCTGTCTGGCGCAGATCTCCAACACACTGCTGAAAAGCTTTAGTTACAATGAAATTCACAATCGGTAAAATGAGTTTAAAAGTTAAATGATAAAAATAACCTTTTTTTGAAACTTTCTTCTACTTTCCAATAGTCGGGTGGCTCTGGGTATCACCTGCGTTCAGTGTACGCCAGTGCAGCTAGAACTGCTACGTCGAGCAGGCGCCATGCCGGTGTCCTCCCGTCGCTGTGGAATGATCACCAAGCGTGAGTCAGAGCGACTATGCAAGTCATTTCTCGCCGAAGCTGAGCCGCCCAAGTTGCCCGACTCATTTGCGTTTGACGTCTACCACAGCTGTGCTTGGGGTTGCAGAGGCAGTTTCACTCCATCCCGGTACAACAGCTCACGGTAAACGTTTAGGCATCTAAATATAGTAAAAATTTCTAACTTTTTTTAACTGCGTTTCAGAGCAAAGTGCATCAAGTGCATCTACTGTGGCCTCTTTTTCTCGCCCAACAAGTTCATCTTTCACTCGCACCGCCTGCCCACTTCAAAGTACATTCAACCTGATGCGGCAAACTTCAACAGCTGGCGACGGCACATTCGTCTGGTCAGCTCACCAGAGCCACCGGAGCATGTTAGCTACGCTTGGGAAGGTAAAGGCTACTTAGTTTTGCTCACTGTATAAGCGCTCACTTCTATTTTACACCATTAGACGTAAAGGCAATGTTCAACGGTGGAAGTCGAAAACGGGCCATGTCCTCCACTTTAAACTCCTTCACAAAGAACCAGGAGAGCAACTCAAAGGCAAACGCCGCCAGCAAACACGAACAGGCAAACAAGTACAAGTACAGCGATGACAACAGCGGACTGGACGACTCGGACGATTACTGCTCACTGGACGGACCACCACAGACACAATCCACCACGGCATCGGCAGCATCACACCTACAGTCATTGACTTCGAATAAGAAAATGGTGTTGACTGGAGGAGGAGGACAGAGTAGCAATGACTCTGACCAGGGCACCACCAACAGCAACAGTCAACAACAGCTGGAAGAACTTGAGCACCGGATGAACAGTCCTCCAGTGCACTGCATGAGCACT